TAATTAATGGTGCAGTAGGTGATCTGTCTAGATACAATGCCTCCCCTGTCGTCCTAAGCAGTTCCTCTTTAAATTCGGCATTCATTCACCATTCAGTCATTCGCCAGTTAGAAAACGTTATAGTACTTTATAATACTACAATTCTTAGCGAAAAAATCTATTATATCTAGCATGTTTTCAGTTGTGTAGCAAGCAAAACTTGTCATCACTCTCTCATCAGTCTCACTCATCAGTCTCACTCTCTCACACGCTTTGTCCTAAAGCCACTACTGTATGCTTAGTGGTTGGCCGGCGGCAAGCAGGAATTAGACTTACTACCTAGCAACATTTACATGCTATTTCAGACCGAATATTCAGAACAGAAAAGTAAACAATATAGGGAGCGTGTGACAGGCTGTCACTGATCAAAAATGAACCAATGTGATGTGAATATATAACCAACTTCAGCTCAGTAAAGCAGGCTAGGCAGAATAGCGCTATTTACTGATGTTTTGTTGTAAAACTAAATAAAAAAAAATCGACATTATCGATGCTGTAAAAGGACCTTATGAAACTAAGGGTGCTTTCACATCTGTAGTTCGCTTCATTTGGTCCGGACCAAGGGCAATAAATGATACATTGTTGCATTTTCTGCCGTCTTTAGGTCGTTTCACACCACACTGCTGGCTTTGGTCCAAACCAGTTGAAACTAACCAAAATGCAGTCATCTGACAAAATCCACATCTGTCATTGGCTAGATGTTGTTGAACCTATTTCCTAAACTGCTTATTGATTGGTTAGGATTCACGTGTGAAAAAATGCCAATAAACTCCCGCAAGTAAACAATACCGGAAGACACAAAATGTTGTTTTTATTCTAAAGGGACGACTGCGCTGACTGATTGTATGAATGCTTTAGACAAACTATACATTTCAAGAATGAAGCGTGGCAGCTGGAATACAGTGTTTTAATGCATCGCTCGTCACTTCAGGAGGAGACGTGAATTAATTTGGCTAATCTGCGACATTGTCATCTTGCGGAAATATTACCAACAATCCATCAGGTAATGTTTTCCCCTCTCTGTAGGTAAAGCTCTGTCAACAAATATTTTTCCTCCATATCCCATAATGCACAGCGCATTGGCCTACAGCAGCTCGATTAGTCCAAAACGCGCACTACTTCTTGCGGTTGGACCTGTTTTAGTACGGATCATATTCTCACCACAAATGAACCGCTCCAGGGTTCGTTTGAAAGCGTACCGAGACCACCTCTTCAAGCAGGTCTCGGTATGCTTATTTGGTCCGCTTTTGGTGCACACTCAAGTACCATTGCTGCATTCTCACCTGCCCAAACTAACCGCACCAAAAAGGAAAACGAACTCTAGTGCGATTCAATCGAACTAAATAAGGCAGGTGTGAAAGCACCCTAAAAATAGTAACAATAGTAATTTTCACCGGAAGATTTCAGTGGCTGAACAACACTTTTGTGAATATAACCCATTTATAACAACACAATCTACATCAGCTTTGCATGACTAAAATAGTTTTAAAACAGAACATTACCTGTCTATAAGAAATAACTCAGCCATGGTGTCGTGCTTCCTCCAGTGTGCAAAACTAACTCCAATATTGATTCAGGATTTTAAAGTTTTGATTGAGCATTTGTTTTTCGCGCTGTCACCAGTGTTCACGTAACTGCGGTTTGCATGAAAGGGCATCAGCAGATCTGCCTGACCGGCTGCGCAGTTGTTTAAATCTTTTGTTGACAGACAGTTTGGTCTACTTATCAGAATTATGGGATTTATCGGCCTGACAATTTTTAGGTTTTGTGCCTTACCCAGAATATAAAAATACATATAAACACATCTAGATAATTTACTTTAATCATTTCTATTTGAATATGAAGAGACTTTTAACTAGCACAACAAAAAATGTTTCTGAAGACAATCACCTACTGAACCTTTAATTGCACCCAACACTGATCTGGACTCACACGTTTTCAGCTGTTGTAAAAAAGCCAGTATAAGTGGCAACTGTGTTAACTTTTTGACCTTCTCTGCCCGCTGTGTGTCTACACGGGAATGTGTTTCTCTCTCAGCATCATGCACTCATTCACTCTAACACGCAGACACCGGAACCAGTCTCTATGACGACCTCACGTTGCCACAGTTACAGTGAGATACTGAAATCAACAGGGACTGACTCACTTCCTCTTGCACCACTGATGTGTCTGAGGGTGCATGCAATGACTGCATAGACTAACGAGTTATAGACTCCATAATCTCCAAAAAATAAAGGAAAAAAAAGTAGCATAGTGAGCAGTGAAAATAAATTATGGGACAGTGGCCTACTTACTATATATATAATAGTTGTATTTTCAAAATGGCAAAGATGCAGTCACGCATACTTGGATTTTATTTTTTTTTTAAATCACAAGTATATCTGATAATAAGCTTGATCAAAAGCGATCTTGAGAAGATGAAACTGCGTGAATTGATCAGGATAGCGGGAGACAGCAAAGTGATCTCACGTCAGCCAGAAAACATGACAGAGGAGGTAACTGTGGGCTCTTCTTAAGGATTAGACTGAGTTAGTCATATTAACAACACATGGCAAGCAACGCGTTGATAATAACAAATAATCATATTAGATTACAAACAACCCAACAAATTGTTTAGCACATGTGCATCGCTGCTGTTATGTTTACACGTAATATTTTTTCCTGGGGTGATTTAAAGCAAAATACACAATGGCACTTAATCAAACATATCTACATTGATGAGGAACATGGTTACTTACTGAGTTATTAACGCACAGCAATACCACATGAAGAAAGGACGGACTTTGAAGGAATAAACAATGTGAGGAGATTATATTATAGTGCACTGAACAAGTCTTAACAAGTTCTGCCAACGCATACGCGAGGCAGACAGTTCTGTACAATTACGTAATTTATCGGCTTAAATATATCAGACTAATATAGACATCGGATCGTCAACGATAATCTTAAAAATAGCATTTATCGGTTGATAACGGTATGGCCGCCGATATATTGTGCATCCCTAGTTTTGTGAGAAGGGTTTCTCATATGATATGTGAACAACTGGTACAGCTTTACTGTAGACATTTATTTGAGCAAGAAAGACATTGACTGTACACGCCCACAAGAAGGGTATCCTTGGTAGTGAAAATGCAAGCCTGATAAAGATGACGATACCGACCCGTACTGTACTGTACTGTATTGTACCAGTCAGTGAAAACGGGCTATTATATGGCATTATATTACAAAATAATTAAAGACCGTTCAGAAATGTGATGCTCTTTTTTTTGCTGTTTAATGACGTCATGTTCCCGGAAAAACTGAAATTGTGTGGAGGACGTCATCACGGTAACTATTATTTCCTGGTTTTGTTCCGGAAATTATTCATTTACAATTTAAGCACCGCTTACAACGAATTAGATAGTCACATTTTCTTTAAGAAAAGTGTATTTAAAAAACTGCCCTACTTTTTAAAAAATTGGCTTTTCTTTTATATTGTATATCTTCTTTTTATTTTAATCAAATAATTACAGCCTTGTGGAGTTCAACAGAAAAAAAAAGAAAATGAAAACAAAAATTTAACAAAATTCCAATGGTATAGACTAGTAATGAGTTTTCTTTAACAGTTCCTACACATCTAATTTAACACACGGTAACATGTTATTTAAAAATACGCACCGTAAAAAATAAGTTTTTTGTTTTTTTTTTGCAACTTTAACTTATTTTATTAAGTTAATCAGGTTTAAACATTTTTTTTGTTATACACAGTTTAACTTAATATGTTTAGTTAGTTAAGATGCAAGTTGACTTGACAAGAAAAGTTAAAACGCTTAGGCAGCAAAAATATGTTTTTCAGTGAAGCTTATATAAAAAAAAAAAAAGTCATAATTTTTTGTTCCAGCATAAGTGAATTTTCTTCTCAGTGTTAATTGTGGGGAAAAAAAAAGATACTAGTTTTAGGGCCTACTCACACTATGCCATCCGTACCATGCCCAGGCCCGATTCCCGGATCGTTTGAGAAGTGCGAGTGCGCTGAATCGGGCTCAAGCACGATTCACTTGGCCGGCCCTGGCCCGGTTGGAAGAGGTGTGCCTGAGCGCAGTTCACATGGGCTTTGGTGCGGTACGCTTGTATGTGAGTGTAAAACACGCCAAAGCCCGAAACTGAAAGCGAGACATGACTTTTAAGGGGTTTTTTCATATGGATTTATTAATCATTACTGTTCAGTGATCGCAAACTGCCATAGTTTATTAAAGACGAGAACTCCTCACAGCTCGACAGCTGCGCAGCTTCAGCAGACGTCCTCATTCCTGCAGCACGAGGGCTTTATGATTGTTTTTGAGCGCCAAAAGTGGTGGATCTGTTCGGCGAAATATCTGACTGCGTGTCACCGCATCCCTAAGGACTGTTTGGCAAAATATTTGACTGTATGTCACTGCATAACAAACAACTGAAACGATATAACTAGAGAAATCTCCACTGTGCTGCTGAGTGAGAGAGCGCTTCTCACTGAACAGTGCAGCAGCGATGACGTAAGCGTGCCGAGGCCCGTTTGTGGTGTGAGTGCGGGCCGTCGGAGGAGACCGGAGGGGGGATAAGCGTGCTTTGGCCCGGTTCGAGGCAACTGTACCTAGTGTGAGTACGACCTTAGACCACCATTGTGTGACTTTCAATATACAAGCGCATTCTTCAAAATATCTTTTTTCTTTGTTCCACAGAAATACTCGTCACAGGATTGAACAGCCAAAAATACAAAGCCTGAAAATTGACCTTCATGGAGGGTCTGGGTTATTTATAAATTCACTATAGTGGATCTTGCTGGGTCAAACAAGAAGACACCTACAATCTTGTGACAAGTATTCATCATTCACAGAGACATTAAACAACCCCCAACTGAAAGATAAACAGCCATTTTAACCAAAACACTCCATGTTAACCATCCTGAATGAACCTGCAGAGGGTTCAGAGATCTGGACTCTTACCGTTTAGCCTCCTCCAGGTGGCACAGGTATTCATAGGCCATATTCTGCTGGCGCCGCTCATCCATCTCTTCAGCAGTGAGCCGCTCCACGCCATCCAGAACAGCTGGACGAGAAGGGCAAACATGAGAGGTGGGCAAGAAAACTGACACTTCACTGAAAAAAAATCACTTGATTTATTTCACCTAGAAAAACTTTGATTCCAGCTTATCACAGATTACAGAAAATTATTTATTTATTCATTCATTTAATAATTTTCCTTTGGCTTAGTCTCTATTTTAGAAGTCCCCACAACAGAATAAACTGACAACTATTCCAGCATATGTTTTAGGCAGCAGATGCCCTTCCAGCTGCAACCCATACTGGGAAACTACAGAAAACACATTTAGAATGTTTTAAAAAGCAAAAGCATTTCATTTGATCCTTCAGTTTATAAAGAACAAACAAAGTTCTGTTTCAACTACTATAATACTGACAAATTATGAAATGTTCATTGTTTGTTTGTTTATTAATCCATTGCCACATGAATAACTTATGGCTATTTCATGGCAAGATTAATATACTTAAACACATTACATGATTACAACAACTACATATTTCAATAAGAGATGATACACAAACAATAGGGGTGTAACGATACACTCAGCTCACAATACGATGTGTATCACGATATAATGTTCACGATTCGATATGTATCACGATATTTGGAATAAAAATTGAAAATTAAACTGAAATGCAAATTTTACCAAGTAAACTATTTTTTATGTATTTCTTTTGTTTCAACTTGTTAAACTGATCCTTATTTAAGAAAATAAATTAAACAGGCCTGTCTCTGGAAAATAAAACACTTTAAAAACTTCTTAAAAAATATTATTGAAATGACAGAGACAAAATTAAGGAACAATATAAGTAAAAGTGCAAAAAAAAAAAAGCTTTCTATTCAATTGAATTTAACAGTAAGAGCTTAAGGCTTTGCTTGGTCACTTGCGTTTTTTGTGTGTGCAAAAAAAAATCCACAATTCCAGGTATTTAATTCATATTTAATTAAATTCATTTAGAGATATCTCTAATTACAATTGTGACTAGTCAAAACTCATTTAGAGATGTCTGCAAATATTTTTCAATGGAAGTCAATGGAGGAATATGACTAGTCATAATATATTTGCAGATATCTCCAATCTGATTTCGTACTAGTACAATTGTAATTGCAGATATCTCTAATTGTCATTCTGACTAGTCGAATTATAATTATGACTAGTCAAAATATAATTAGAGATATCTCTAAATATATTTATGGATAGTCAGAACAAAGGTTTAAATGCTAAAACGGCTTGCTATCATATTCTGCCCTCTGTAGTAACAGCTAACGGTCAGCTCACATCATGTGTGATTTTGCGGCTGCAAATACATCATTATATGAAGACAGAATGATATTTTAGGGTGAATTGTACCTTATAAATACAGTATGTGACTCTTTCAACACCATTAGTAGGTATCCCTGTCGCTGTGCAAAGTATGTAAATCACTGTGAAGACTTTAAAAGTTAGGATGTTTGACCCAGTATGCGTGTCAAAAAGCGGACGAGTCTAAAGCAATGACTGTACAACCGAAATCTTGCCAGACATCTGATTTTGAGAGGATGGGCCATCCTCTATTTCAGCTCCACTCATCTTGGTCTGCTAACATTACTGCTGCTGCAATCTGAACTCACGTGCGACAGCAGGTGGAACATAGCTCACGTGCAAACAGCTCAACTAATAAGAGAAAACGGACGTCATATCGTAATCAAATCTTCATAACGCCACGATGCATATTGTGACATTTTTGCATCGCAATAAATCGTACAACGATAAATCGTTACACCCCTAACAAACAATAATATATAAATATAACAAACAAAATTAACAAAAAATCTATATTAAAATTAAAAATCATCTTTAAGATCAATATTTGACCTATAACTTAAAATTGTTTGAAGTGTTTTGATTACAAATATCCTGTCTAATGGTACTGAAACTTTTACAGTCTAATAAAATATGTTTTCTGGTGAGCAATGAAATGATGATGTTTGACTGAAAATAAAATGTGAGCAGCATGATATTTAAAGACTGGAGCTGCTGAAATAAATCGAACACAGATAACGGTTATTAGAAAGCACAGAAATGTGTTAGAGAGATTTTAGAGTATATTTTTAGCTTTGATGGCTATTTTATGGTTTAAATGTAATGCATTTCCATAACAATAAAAAGACATCAACGACAGTAAATCAATAATAATAACAACAACAACAACAATAATAATAATATAGAAGATAAAAATCTAAAGGATTTTTTAAACATTTACTTACAAATTGTTTTGATGAGCAAAAAATAATTTGTTAAAAACTTAACTGACCTAAAGCTTTTAAATACTAGTTCTCATACCACCAATTCTCTTGAAAGCTCAAACCATGCTGAATGTTCAGCAATCTCCGCATATTTTTGTTATTTTGGTGTCTGACGTGACTGACCTTAAGCAACCTTAAAGTTATGAGAAAACTATTTCACATACTAAATCAGTCAATTATGTTTGTTAATGTCAAGTGGAAAAAGTACATAAATCTAATTAATGTCTGCTCATATTTCACAGAGAAAACTATAATTGTTTATCTGTAAAAACCTTATTTGACGTTACACTGATGACAACAAGGCTGCGAGGGACAGACATGAACTATAATGGCCATAAATACAAACACAATTTCTCAAAGTAAAGTAGGAACACTTAATGTTTTCTGAACTGTTACGACACAATTCGGAGTGTGCCTTACACAGGTGAGTGGGCTTGACAAACCACCTATAGAAAACACACTCTTTCTTGACTCTGACATTAACCGACAATTGCACCAGTTTTGCACTAGCTATGTGTCCATTTAAAAATACAAATTAAATTTATTCACAAAACGGGAATATGGCATTAAAGATGTGCGAATAAAGCACCTTTTCCATCCAATGAGTCAAAGCAAACAAAATCGTCACTTCCTGATTAACTGGTGCCAAATATCAACAGGAAAAACGGAATTTGCTGCGGTAGGAGAAAGTGTGCAAATCTTCACTTCATTTAATAAATGACTTGCGCCTCAGAAGATGCTGACACGTAATGAAGACTGGTGTTGTTTGAAGCCATGAGACGCAGAGCACGGACACTTTTGACAGTTCTGGGGGTCATTAATAATATAATAACACTTATACTGAAATAGTTATGGTGTTTTAGAATGACCAAAACAACATTTCAGATGTTTTACAATGTGCTCAGCCTGCTGGATTGTCCATTCACGCACATTTTCATCATCACATGATAGGGCTGTGCAAATAATCGAAAATCCGACTTCGATTCCGATTTTGGCTTCTAACGATTATGAAAAACCATTAATCGAGATAAACGATTATTCCATCATATACCGCCCTCTTTCCAGTTGGACATATTTGTTGCTCTGCAAAGCTCAGTTCCACGTGAAAACGACTAAAAGCATGTGCTGTAATGTAATGTTTGCAGCACGGGATGTGGATCATTCATATGATAAGAGCACATGCTGTTGTATGTGTGTGCGCAGCGCTTAGCCTCAGACAGAATCGGAGACGAGCAGAGCACACACATCTTACGCCATCTTAATGCGAGCGCTTTAATGGTCAAATACATGCACGTTTGTGTCAGTGCGGAGTTTAGTGATTTTAATATTAACCCTAGTTTGTGTAATAAACAAACAAGTTACAGCGCGCAATACTACTGCTGCCACCTGTTTTTCTCAATAATCAAACAACAAAAGGAGAAAATACCTCACTGCTCCTGACTGGAGGACTTTTGTAGCTAAAGTTATTTTCTTATAGTGAAGATGCCTAAAGCACAGTTTAAACAAAACAGATTTAATAACTCATTTCTAATAACTGATTTCTTTTATCTTTACTATGATGACAGTGCATTATATTTTACTAGATATTTTTCAAGATACTAGTATTCAGCTTAAAGTGGTATTCAAAGGCTTAATTAGTGTAATTAGGCAAGTCATTGTATAACAGTAGTTTCTTCTGCAGACAATCAGAAATATATATTGCTTAAAAGGGCTAATAACAACGAGCTATTAAAATAGGTTTCAAAATATTTAAACCTGCTTTTATTCTAGCTGAAATAAAACAAAAAAGCTTTCTGTAGAAGAAAAAAAATATTATAGGAAATGCTGTGAAAAATTCCTCTGTTAAACATCATTTGGGAAATATATATTAAAAGAAATTCACAGAAGGACATATAGATTTGACTTCACGATTATTCAAAACGATTATCAGTTGATAACAATTATGACCAAAATAATCATGATTATGATTTTTACCCAAAATCGAGCAGCCCTATCACATGACCACTTATAACAAAGTCACATGACTTTTTTAATGAGCATACTGGAATTTGTCCGGTAAAAGTGTTTCCATTGTAGTTTATGCATGTTTTTTTTTTGTATTGAATAAAAAAATAATACTCAGTTGCATGCATGGGTTTTTTTATGTGCATTTTCAAAATGTTTGCGAATCTTGGCGTTTCCATCAATCAATTTTTTATGCGCTTATCCAAAATGAGCATACAAATAAGTGGATGGAAACATAGCTACTTTCTTACAATCACTCCATATCTCAAAAAAAACAAAACTTTGGGCATTTGTGATGTTTAAACAAACTAAAGAAAAAACGTTAATGAGTTTCGTTCCTCTGTTGAACACAAAGGATGATACTCTGGAGAATGTTGGAAAAAAGCCACTGAGGTTCATAGTAAAAATAAAAATAATACTATGGAAGTCAATAGCTTCTGCTTTCCAGCATTCTTCAGAATATCATCCTTTGTGTTCAACAGAAGAAAGAAGCTCAGACAGGTTTGGAACAAGTGGAGGAAGAGTAATTTTTATTTTTGGTTTAATTACAGCTTTAAGGGAACAATTCAAGCTGCAAGAGTATAAATCAGACAATGAATTTCATCTGAGGGTGAGTACTGAGTAGATCTTAATATTAATATAAACTAATATTACTTAAACGAGAGGGAATGCAAACACAAAGGATTACAAAAACATAGATTCTGAATTATGAAGCT